CTACTGAATTCAAGCTGTCCATATGGCAATTTTTAGAAAAACTTCATACAGCTGTGAAGTAATCCTATTTGTGTCTACAAAAGATGTATTGAAAAATAAAATAGATGCAGAAAATACGAATATTTATTTTAAGAAGACAGTAAACGTTTGTATATTTTCTTTCACATATACATTTATTTCATTTTCAGCATTGAATTTTGTTTTTACTTAACCCCAGTAGCAGCTCAACCCTACACAGCTGCCCACTCACTAACTCCCAGTGTAAGGCGGGAAGAGAATCAGACGACTAAATGTGAGAAGACTAGTGGATTGAAATAAAGACATTTTAATATGTGAAGCGAAACCCACACACAGAGCATGAGCAAACCGAGGGGATTAATTCACTTCTTCCCATGGCTTGGCAGGTGTTTGCCCATCCTCTTGAGAGTAGAGCCCTATCACATGTAATGGGTACTCAGGAAGATAAACACCATCACACCAAGCTTTCCCCCAATTCCTTTTTCTTCCCCAGGTTTCATATGCTGAGCATGTTGTATGGTCTGAGATATCCTTGTGGTTGGTTAGTGTCTCCTGTCCTGGCTGAGTTCCCTCCCAACTCCTTGTGCATCCCCAGCCTCCTCACTGCTGGGGTAAAGGGCAGAAAGCCCTTGGTGCAGTTGAAGCTCTCCTCAGCAATAACTAAAACATGCCTATGTTGTCAACACTGTTTTCAGCATAAAACCCAAACACAGTCCCATACTAGCTACTGTGAAGAAAATTAACCCTATTCCAGCCAAAGCCAGCACAACTTTTCAAAAGATTTTCACAACAAAAGCTAATTTCTTGGCAGAAGACTAGAGCTTGTGTCTTCTCATGCCAGTATATTCTTCTTAATTTTTTTACCAGAACATTTTATTACATGCTTACTTTTCAGAACCATGTGTGGGTAGATGTCACACTGCACAACACTACACTCCCACCATTGGCTATCAAGAACCCTGAGTGCCTGGGGCTTCTCCACCAACTGGACAGGAGTAAAGATGTCTGGATTCAGCACTACTGCATTCTGAAGGATGGCTGTTTGTACTTTTATGCCACCCTCCGGTCTACACCTGCCCAAGGTAGAGATGGCAGCTAGATTTTACTTTATTATTGAATTAGAAATGTGTCACTGCAGTTTCCAAGTAGAACTGTTACCGTTAATGAGAGTTTCTTATCAGGAAATTAATGATGTTCCATTAAGGTGAATGAAGGAAAACCAGACTCAGTCTCTATTTATTCACTAGCCACCTCATTCCTGTCTTTTTTCCTTTTCCTCCCACATTTTTATTTTTTCTTTCTGAAATGGAGTTATTCTGCACACATTACCTCAGAAGCAGTTATCAGAAACAAGATCCATGCTTCTAAAGCACTTTATGATGGGTTGAGGCAGTCCCATTGATGGCAGTCTCCTGAAAGCTGTCAAATCCTGCATGTTAGAAAGCATCCACAGTTACCATGAACTCTGACTGATTGCTTGAAACTACCAGGTTTTGACATGACCTTGTTAAAGCCATTCCACCCCTCAATATGCAGAACTTTCCTACTGCTGCTGCCAGGTGGCCACAGTCTTTTGCAGCTAAAGCTGCCATCTAGGAGCCCTCTCCTCAGCAGGAGAGGGTGGCTGCCCACTCTCCAAGCAGTAAGATGATGCTATGAGGTCAACTGCAAGCAGAGCTCACTTCACACACAGAGAGGGGAGGAGTGAGGACCTGGAAATGCTTTCTCCCTGTACTAAGGAAGCTGACAGTCAGAAGAACCAGAAAGAAAATAGTTTTCTTTTTGCTTGCTAGCCAGTCTTCAGATCAAAAGGGAAAAACTTCTCTTAGGGCTTATGCTATTATGATCAGGCAGAAGGGCTCCACTTTGTATGGCTCTTCATCTGCCAAAGGCCATACTTACAAAATGACCAGGGATTTCCTCTTTACATGAAACCAAAGCTAAGATTTGTGCAGAGAAAAACAATGAATTAACAGGAAGCCAGAAATTAAGTTTTATGCATTTGTCACCCTGAAGCCTATGCTCCTACTGCCAAGTATTTTGTTTTAGTGTTTAAAACTATACCATAGAAAAAACACCAACTACATAAAAATTCTTCTGTATGGTAGTGTTTTTTTCTTGTTAGTGCATTTTTTTTCCATTTTCACTACATATTCTATCATTCTCAATGCTAGAATATTAATTTGGTGCGGTTGTGCCTAAATGTGAGACTCCCCAAAAATAAATATCCTGTTCTGCAGATCTTTCTGACTATTCATCATGTATGTATAAAGTAAACTTGCACCTTAAGTTTCACTGAAGTTGTCTGGAGGAAAGAAATAAATAAAAAGAACAAAACAAAAAGCAGTTAAAATGAAAATGTCCCAATGATCAAGTTCTGTCCAATGCCTCTCCTTCACAGCTGGCTAATGTGGCCTGCAATGACATGTCAGTTATTCATGACAGCAGGAGTAACCAAACCTGATTTTAGGATTTTTTTTCATGTTGAAATTTGTATCACTTTAGTTTTTAAGGGAAAGAACAATAAAATATCATCTACAAGAGCCCCCCCCCCCAAAAGAACTTTACAGTGGCTTGAGGCAGCCCCATTAATGGAAGTCAAAAGCTATAAAAAACAATTTGCCATGTCTTATTTAATGAAAAGTTAAATAAATCTTTATTGCTTATCATTTTATAGATAGGAAACTAGTTTAACACTGTTTTGAAATCAGTTTTCATAACAGAAAAAGAAACTGAACTTTCAGATTTTTAAATGTAAAATCTGTAATACTCTGTGAATACACCAATCTGAAAATCCAATTTGCCAGATTTGTTGGTATGCTATAAATGGTATCTGCAATAGACATAATGCATGCTATTTTTTTCTATCCAGGTGGCCTTTACCTGCAGGGCTATATTGTGAGTGAGCAGTCCCTGGGCTCCAAGAGATCTGTAATTGAACTCAAACCTCCATCTGAAGAATTTAAAACTTTTTACTTATGTGCAGAGAATGTAAATGAAAACAAAAGGTAAACCAAACTTTTTTTCCTTTTTTTTCCCAGTTTATTTACCAGACTTTAGGAGACCAGGAGCTCTGTAGCTTGGGAAGATCTAGTGACAACTTAGCAGCATGTTTTCACTTTTCCCCCAGATTTCTCTTTAGCAGTAGCCTTAGTCAAACAGCAGTAAAACATATCCTGGAACATGTGAATCATCAGTTCTGTTCTTTTCAATACTGAAACAGCAACAGAGATTTGCAGAGGCTTGCAGAGGGTTGGAAGTAAACCAGGTGCCTTTCACAATTATGTGTGGGTGATTACACTGAACACAAAAGCTATGGCACTTCTCATTAGTTAGAATGCAGTGTATATCCTCCTCATTGCCAAGAACTGTTGACTTCTATCAATGACCATTCGAATTTAATTAATTTAAGCAAATTGGACAATGAAAACACATTCTGAAGGTAAATTCCCTCACCATAATCCAGTCAAATAATCTGTCAGTGGGAGTTTTTACATAAAGCCTATTAATTACACCATCTGGGCTTTAATTTAATGAACAAAAGACAAAGCTTTTAAATATGTTGGAAAATTGCTGTTAACTATATTGTTTTTGTATCCAACTCCTCCACTTTCTGCATCTCTCCAATCCACTGATTATGAATACACGTAGTAAGAGTTGAACATACCGCACTCATTAAAGGTGTGTTTCAAAGGGAAATAGAGAATATACAGAGAAAGGTGTACATAACATTTGAACAGGGACAATTTTTGGTCTTCATTTCTTCTAGGTGGATTGCAGCTTTGAAAGCTTCAATTAATAAATGGTTACCCCTACACCAGGCAATCCAAGATTTCATGAACAGACCACTGGAGGAGACAAGAATGTGACACGAAACCTCCGTTTTTCCTGCTTCTATTTTGCATTTGAAATTCCATATTATATCTTATGAATGATCTAGAGAGATATTTTAGCAGCAGCTAATTTTTAGCATTGCTATACGTTCAGAACTTTTGTAAGCATTAGTAAATAAATGCAAAGCAATGTTGCCTTCCTTGTCACTGTAATTTTTGTTTCTACTTCAACTCAGACCAAAGAGAGTCTACTTTACAGCTGTGACCTGGTATACATTCCACATACATTTTGTACTCCCTGCTGAGGTTTTTTAAGGGTTTGTTGGTTTTTTTGGGTTTTGGGGGATTTTTTGCAAGCACAGTCTTTCCAAAGTGTTCTGCTTTTTCACCCAGATGATTCATATGTGGGTTTGCCCATAAGTTTCTAGGTTTTGTGGTGCTTAAGGTTGAGACAAGCTGCCAGTAACAACAGCAGGAGGGTGCACTTGCACGTAGAGCTGAGAATAAGCTGTGCATGGGAAGTGCCGCGGAGCTGAATCTCCTCGCTCGACCTCAGCTCTGTCCAGACCAAAGAGGGCGAAGAACAAAGCCGCAGGGCACCGGGCTTGTGAGTGCAGTGCAGCGAAGAGCACACGACCAGCCAACAAGCTCCTGCACAATCACTTTCATCTCTCAATGCTCTTGCTGCTTGGAAAAGTAGCACACAGCCGTTGCACCCCACGGCAAACCTGGGCCATGCCCTTCCTCACACCTTCAGTGTGGTGTAGTCCATGAAGCTTGAGCTAAGTGAGAAGGACGCGAGGAAGCAGAAGGCGTTCTTAAAGTAGCCCCCTGTCAGCAGCCCTAAAAGTGTGCACAACACACGGCGTCTCGCACCCCTCCATTTTTCATTCTGGCAGCTCCCTTGGGGATGTCCAGAAGGTGCACCACTGAAAAGGGGGCCAGAATGAAGATCCAGTGCTGAGGTTCACCTTCTTCTTCTTGCACATAAGCCACCTCCTCGCAGCTCCTCGCTGCACTCTGTATTTGCCTTCTCCGCAGCATTTACCGTGGTGCTCTCTGCAACTTGGAGCCTAGAGGTGACTGCAAATGTTTCCACAGAGGGCTGGAAGAGAACCAAGGAGCAGCACAAACAGCTGTGGTGAAACTTGCTCCTTCCGACTGATAACGGCACTTGGGAAGGCAAGCGAGAGGCAGCCACCTTCCTCTCGTAGCCTGTAACGCTATGCACACAAGCACGGGACTTGTTGCGGCTTTGTTCATCGCCCTTGTGGACCTCTAGCGGTGTTTTCCCTCCCCAGCGGCGAGAATTGCTGAACAGGCCACACAGAGCAGCCGGCAGCCAAGCGCTCGAGAACACTGCTTTTGCCAAAGCGCTCCTGGGGAGTGCACCTTTCTTCTCAGCGCTCCGTGCAACAGTCTGCCTCTCTCGCAGTGGCAATCGACAAGGAAAGCTTTTTGTCTACGCCCTGAGCAGAGAAGTGAGCCAGGACGAGAAGCTTTTTAGCCGCAGCTTGCCCCTGACGCAAGGAAGCTGCTATTAGCTCCACATTCCAGGGACACGTCTCTTTCCTTGACGACGTGCTCAGAGCTCTCCGAATCCAGTGCTAGCTACACGGTCCTTCTCAGCTGCAAGTAGCAGCGCTCACAGTACATACAGCCTCGCAAGGACCGCAGACCTGGAGAGAGGAGTTGCACACAAAAATGTGCCAGGACAGAGACACGTTCTTCATTTGCCCTTCTGCTCGGCCAGCTTGTGCTGCTGTGAGGAACTCCTTCCTTGAAAAATGAGCAAGTGCGTCTCTCCTAGCACATTTCACTGAGTGAGAGCTCGCTAGGGACTTTGGACTCTGAGAAACAGAGCACGATTGTGCATAGAGCTGAGGAACAGCTACGCACAGCTGAACCTCATGGCTGGACCTCACTTCTGTGTGAACCACACAAGGTGAAGAATGAAGCCACAGAGCACCAGGCTTGCAAGCGCAGTGCACCGAATAGCGAACGAGCAGCCAAAGCGCTCCTTCACAGTCACATTCACCTCTCAGTGCTCTTGCTGCTGCAAAGCGTAAACACGCCCCATCTGAATTTCTTTCAGCAGAGCACTTTTGGACAACACAAGCAACCATTCTGACTCTGGGTGTGCAGTTGATCTACTCTTCCAGGCAAGTAATGCCCAGGGAACCCTTTTCCGGCGCCTTTGTATGGGATCAATTCCTGGGTGTTTTTCATTTTGCTGGAGAGGATGCTGTTTCTATTGAGATGGGTTTGTAGCTACTCTCTTGGGCAAAGAATGCAAGTTTGGATCCACATATTGTGCGCTCTCAGTGAATTTAGAGGCTTTTCCCAATAGTTCTTTGGGTTGGAACTTTGGAACTGTCCTTGGGAATGCAAAAGCCAAGTTTTTAATCTTTTTGTTCTGGGACCTTTAGTGTGTGAGTTTTCCCCTGTGCCATTCTGTTTGGATCCTGACTGTAGGAGATTGAAAGAGTAGGATGGTAGGTATAGCTGAGAACGCAACTGCTGATAGCAGGGTGTGATCTGTTAAATTGATGGATGCACATGAAGTTGTAGGTAGCAAGATCTTTCTCAGCTGCCAACTTTCTCAGTGAGCTCTGTTTTTGCTAGATGTTTTCAAGGCTGTTGCTAGACTTTGTGAGAGCGAAAAGCTTTGTTAGGGAAAATGAGTTTGTGTTGCTCTTGGAGTGTGGTGCAAAAAGGGTTTGCACTTGGAAGGAGAGGACTTTTTGTCCTAATGCCACTGGTTTGAGTGCCTGGACATTTCCACCTTGGCTGTCCGTCCTTAGGGTGGTTTCCCGCTGGGCCCGGTGTGTTTTTCTTTTGCAAGTCGACAGCGCCATCGTGTGGTTGTTTTCATGAGCGCTAACAATGCCCAGGAGAAAGCCAAGCGCATTTCTCACTTGGCCACGTTCGTGTGGGAGCAGTTCTTGAAAGAGTTCCACTGAGGATTCAGGTTCTTGGAGACAGAACGTGCGGGAAAGGAGGACGAATTGTTTCATCATTGGCTTTGTACTTTATGGGCTGCAAAAGAAGGCAATTCCAGCATGGCCTCTTCATTTTAGAACCTTTTCTGCACTCAGCATGTGTCATGCATCCACTGAACTGCATCAAATTCCCTGGAGATAGGCACTTTCCCTCCAGCTCTATGTACCATCATGCACTCTAACTCTTGCAGCAGATAACGTCCATTAACTACTCCAAACGAAAAAGTTCCTCAGCAAAAAGCCATCTTTGGCCTTCATAGACCCTCTGCAGTCTGTAAACTAGACAAACCACACTGGTGACCCGCATGTTCTTTCTCAACTATGTATAGAGCATCCTCACATTCTCTCAAGTTGGCAGAGTTCATGGTTACAGCAAAGCAAGTCCATATGCAGTTCAGACAGAGTGGTGCGCCAGGACAAAAACGCATTTGCTGACCCTCCTTCTCCCCTGTAAAATCTGATTTCCAGAGCAATCACTTTCACACTGCTTCAGCATAGTCCACAGTCCAAGTAGCTATATCTCATGAAGAAGAAAGTGTCAGGATAAAAGATGTTCCTAAGGCAGCCATTTCTTCTAGCAGCATTTAAATTGCACACAGCATATTTGAAATATTAATTTTCTTTCCAACATTTATAGACTCTCACATTTTTCACTCCCACAATTCGGTTTCAAACGTCCAGCAGTTGCCCCATCAAACAGGCTGTACAAACGAAAGCCAATGTCGGGCTGCACTTTCACCTTGCCGCAGGTAAGCCACATCAAACTCCCCGCTGCTCTCTGTGCTTCCCTTCTCCTCTGCATCGACCATTGTGTTCTCTGCATCTCGAAACCTAGCAGTGAGTACAATTGGTTCCACAGAGGACTCGAAGAGGAATAGGTACGAGTACAAACAGTTGTCGAACTTCCTCCTTCCGACTTCTAACGGGATTTTGGAAGGCAAGAGAGAGGCAGGCACACTCTTTTTGTAGCCTGTACTCTGTGCACAAAGGCACGATACTTGTGGCGGCTTCGTTTATCACCTTCTGGAACATGCTGTGCTTTCATTCTCCAGGAGGTGACGAGTCATCTACTTTTCACACAGAACACAATGCCAGCAGCAAAGTGCTAGAGAACGCTGCTTCTGCCAAAACTTGCCTGGTTCATCCACTTTCTGTCTTTCTCAGCTCTACATACAATATTCTGCTTTTCTTGCAGTGAGAATCTAAAAGAAGAGCTGTTCGTCTATCCCCCGCACAGACAACTGCACCAGGACAAGAACCTGGAGCTTGCCCCCGATGCAAGGAATTAGTGCCACCTTCCAGGGGTGGTTGTCTTTCCTTTACGACGTGCAGCGCCCCCAGAATTCAGTGCTAGCTACACCTTCCTTGCGACGCATAGCAGAGAGACTCCCTGGGAGGGGAAAGAGGCTGGGGAATCACAATTTTTTCACCTGAGGCACAGGAGCAGATGGTGAGGGGTCCTTTGTTTGGGTGAGGTAGGGTGTTAATAAGGTCCCAGTGCAACACCGCTCTTATGCGAGCGTTCCACTAACGGCAGAGGCAGCAGAAGACAGAATCCCGCAGTGGTGGTGAATTCTTCCCACAGTGACTGCAGCCTCCTTCCCCTCCGAATGCCAAGAGCGCAAGAGTGATAGGAACTGCACCCAATCCCGTTTTTCCAGCCCAGTTCTAGGGGTATCTCTGCCCTTCCCAGAGAAATCCCCCAGGTAAAAAGAGAGAGTAGCCAGCAGAACCACTCCCCTGAGCTGTGGCCACTTCTTTTATCTCTCTTAAGTACCTGGTCGTTATTGTCTCCTACCAACACATATGGGGGATATATCTTCGAGAGAAACAAAAGGAAGAAACGTAAATCCCAACACCTGGGATCACAGGACTCTGGTAGGGGGACAAGGAGCTGTGCAGGACCTGTTGTTGGAAATGATACAGAGTTTGTTGGGGTTTTTTTTAATATATATACATATACGTATACCTATATATATATATGTGTATATATATGTGTGTATATATATATATATATATACACACACACATATACGTATACCTATATATATATATATATATGTAAAACTTTATTGAGGGCTTTTGTCTGTCTTTGCCCAGGGAGAAAGGAAATGAAGTTTCTTTTTTAAAGGAGTGTTTCACTACTGGTGTTCTGAGGAGCTTAACATCGCAGCACACTGGGAATGGCACAGACGATACACAAAAGATAATGACCATTAATGAACATCTACTCCAAACATCCCGCCTGGCATGGCTGGAGACACTTGGTCATGGAAAAGATAGATAAGAGAATGAAGAAGAGAACTTAATTAACACTGAAGGCAAAGGGATCAATAACCAACAGGAAACCAGACAGTAACTTGTATAACTTGTGACAGAGGAGCACGGAACCAAATAATTTCTCTGGGTTTTGACTGCATAAGTATGTGAGAAACCTAGTAAAGAATCATGTATGATGGAAGGATTTTTTCTGCACAACCCAGGCAATGTGTGGAAGAAATTATTTCTATTGTACATTGTGGCTTGAACAACGTCCTGTTGTACATCCAGGCCAGAATAAAGTAATGCCTTAATTTGCTAACACTAAAAAGTGTTGTTGGAGAGTTTTGGGAGGTTTCTTTGGGGGGAGGTTGGTGGGTTTTTTTTAGTTTTTAGGGGGTTTTTGTTTTTTTTTTTTTAGCTTTGGTGACACTCTCGCTCCCAGATGAAGCATCTGTGCTCACCCAGATTAATGCCATAGGCAGGAAGGCCTTGTCCCAAGCCAGAATTTCATTTAAGGATCATCAACTCCCTGGCAATTGTTTTAAGAAAGGATTGAACTTTGTTCTGCACTTCCTGTCTGTTTCCCGTGTGAGCTGAAATGCGGAGTCTGGGTCATACAGGATTTGAGCTGCCAAATGAGGATGTTTGTGATTATTTTTCAAGAAATTACTCTGAAAGTATTTAATTGGCTTTTTCATCCCTCAGAATTTCCATGATATTTGATGTGAAATCCAATCTTTCCAAAAAAGCTCTGAATATCTCAGTAGTTTCCAGATGAAAAAAGGGAACTTCTGGATTTTTTCTCTTTTTTGGTGTGGTTTGGTTTTTGGTTTTTTTTTTTCTGTCTGAAATCTGAAACTGAAATCTCAGGCAACTCTTCCCTGTAACTGGGTTAAAGGAAGATTCCCGCACACAGACACACTTATGCAGCACTTTATTAGGAAGCCTGGCAAGCCATGGCATTTGAACAGCCTTAGTGCTGGAAACATTCTGTTTTAGAAGCTATGAATAAGTAAATTAAGTTCTCCTGAGATCTGCTTTGTCAGTAGCAGCTTCCCATATTTCCCATGGGGCACTGGATAGGGACCTCCTAAATACCATCTGTACTGGACATTGCTTTTTTCCTGGAGAGGTGCTCTAGCAGCACTTGGCAGTAAGTGTTGGGGATTATTCTGCAGGAACAGTTAAATCCATGATCACTGCTGGACTCTTATCACTGAATTCCCAACTAATGGCAGAGAAGCATTTGAAATTGCCTCTTACAGCATGGCAGCTGGTTGGTACCAATATCTGTAACCTGGTACTGATGCTAATTTTTTGACTCTGAAATCACTGAAGTGCTGGATTATGAAAAACAGACAAGACAGAGAATCAATAGTTTATGTCACCTAGTGGGTTTTGGGCAGGGCTCAGCAATTTGCAGTGGGCTTGTTTAGGGAGAGGAGACACTGGTTCCCTTTCCACCAATGTATGGGAAAGACAGCCCAGAAGGTGAGACTTGGAAAGGAATTGTGAGCTGAAAAGCATCTCAAATCAGTCTTAAATTCTTGGAATGGTCTGGGTTGAAAAGGACCTTATAGATCATCATGTTCCAACCCCCTCCCGTGGTCAGGAAAACTTTCCTGGGGTGTCCATGGAATGTGCTTTGTCCCTGGCTGGAGGAATGGGCAGGACTTTCTCCCTGAATACAATCAGGGCCATTTTTGGTATTTCCATGGGAAGAAGTCTGCAGGCTGCATTTTTGGAGCTGGGAGGCTCCATGCCTGGAAATGCTTCCAGCACTGCTATTTGGTTTTTTTCAGTCTTGGGCAAAAATGATTACATTTCTTCCCAGAATGATGTGGTTTTCCATTGGTTGTTGAGATAACACACTAGATGTTTAAGGGTTGTGTTGTCTTAATCTCCTAAATGGAAGAGTGAGGGAACATGGATGCTCCCAACTGTCACAGATATGCGGGAACAGCCCAGTTCCAGTGAGGAATGTGGTGCCCAGCTTGTGGTGTGCACTGTGAGATGATCTTTCCTGTTGTTTATTGTCGCAGTGCTGACCTAGATTTGGGAAGAGCCAAATAGCTTGGTGAGGTTTTTTTTCTCTCAGAAATCCATACAGGTGTTTATCCTGGCTGTCCCAAGGGGAAAGAAGAGCTTTGGAGTTCTTGCAACCACTGGCTGTGGGTGCACCCCCTGAAAACGGGACACTAGAAGAAATTTCCAGCATGGAACTAAAATGTTTCCTTTGCTGTGTCTGGCCCCAGCAGGGCTTTGGGAAGCAGAGGCTGTGGAAACAGGAGCTTTGCCAGCTGCACTGGGGGAGCCTCTGATGTCCCAAAAAACAGCAAAGCAAATGTTTGCGGTTTAACATCCCACTAAAAGCAGAGGCCAAGCCAGGAATGGAGGCAGACCACAGAGCAGGGATGGTGCCCAGGAGAGTGGTGACCATCCTGAAGGTCCCACAAGTCAGTCATTGACTGAATCACTGAAAAATAGGGATTGAAGCTTTCTGAAACCTGCCTGCATCCAAATTCAATCCCAAATCTATGTTTTGTGTACAGTTGGGATTAGACCACAGCTGATATTACTTCCCAAATTGTAGCAATGTATTTGAAGAGTTTAGGCCATAGTTTACACCAGGTGCTCAGCCAAGCCATTTTTAACTGTTTTTCTGCTGTTTTATCAAACATTCTGGAATTCATCAAGGTTATTGAAATATAAATTGTGCTAAACTGGGAGAGAAGAAGCTGAAAAAACATAATACCAAGATTACAAGTACCAAGATAAAGGTGGGCAGTGAAGCACTGGACTGTAAACCAATCAGATTTCCTGCAAAGTGCGTGCAGAGCATGTGGACAAGATAAAGGCACAAATCAAATAATGTGTGATCGCATGGACAGTAGTTTTAGAATGCATAAGTAGGGCATAAGGTACACAATTAAGTGGCTTCTGCAGTAATCATATTGATTTGTCATTCAGAAGTCCTTCTTTCCTGCACCAAATCACAAACGGTGTAGCTGAGCGTCTGCAGCCATGAAGGGACAGGTAATCTTTAAAACATGCTGAGGTACCAGAGTGGAGTAATTTCCTAGCAGATAACTGGAAAGCAGCATGCCAAACTTCTTTCCACATTTACTTTATCTTCTGCCTAAAGAAGCAGGGGTGGGAGTGTTCTTAACAAAAGAACAGCAAAATTCATTGGTAGCAGAAGGTTTAAAATTAAAGTATGAGTGGAGGTGCCTTCAGGACACTTCCAATTCCTTAGTATCCATGGAATCTAAATTAAGGCTTAAGTATCTAAATCCTGATGAGCTTGTATGAACTTGAACTGACTCTGCAAGGGTTTTACAGCCAGGGAGGGAGACAAGAGTCTGGCATCTCTCCCCAGAAACTGGCTGCTGGCTTGGCTGACCACGCATAGAAATAATTGTGCAATCCCTAGGCCTGTACTTATGAAGAAAGGTTTATTTGTCTACCATGGATTTATTCAGCATATTTTCAAAACAATGGAAACTGTTTTTATTGAAAAGCCTGATGTGCCAAATGCTTTCCCCAGCCAGAGGTCAGAGTTAACCTTGAGGGAAGTGGTTAATGTCCATTTTCCTGATCTGTCCAGGCAGCAGGCAGTGCTAGAGCACTTGCACCCAAACATGCCTGAGGTGCCAAATGGCATCAGGAGGCACATACAGGGATTGGTCAAGTAAGAGTTTGCACTGCTCCTGTAAGCCCAGACCCAGAGCTATGCTTTAGAAATCCCAGGAGATGCTGCCTCACTCAAACCCTGTTTAAAACTGAGCATCCCTCCTGCACCCTCAGAAGTATTACTGCTCCCCTTGTTGCTCTTTTCTAATAATGTTACTATATTATTATTAATTCCCACTCAATTTCTTCCACAACCATTTGCTTCTCAGAGATGAAGCTTTAGGAAAAACCCTCTGACCTGCAGAAGGTGTTTATGGCTCCTGCTGCATTCCCAGTCCCCAGGAGCAGCAGGCCCTGTGCTGTTACCAGCAGATCAGGCAGACGTGCCTTTACTTCCTTATCTACTGTACTTTGGCTTTTTGAGGGGTCTCTGGGGGTCTGAGAGAGAAATTCTTCATCATTCCAGGGCAGAATTAGTCCTGATCCCACTAAAAGCAGGAGGAATTGTTTTATTGTTATTTTCTCTTTTCACTATGTGGTGAAGCAGCAGCTCCCAACCTTTTCAGTGCTGATCCCTGGAATAGTTTTGTTCATAGTTGGTAAATAAGAATAAGCAATTTACTCCCCCATGGCAATTATATAAGAGCAAAGCCTCTCTTTGCATTTAATATTCCAGAGAAAAACTGCCAAGGAATACAGTAAATGAAGACCTACCCATTCCCATGCTGGGTTTGCACACTCACAACGTCCATTCCCTTCTGGAATCCCATGCATAGTCCCCCAGACAAATGTGCAATTTAAGATCTCACAGCCTGACCAAGAAAATCTCCTCCTTATAGGGTTGGAAAATTAGTTTTCCTCTGCTACAGTACCAGTTCAAGGTGATTAAGAAATCACCTTGCAAGTATTTTTATGTTGGGCACATTGAAAAAATTTATTGGAGCAGTCAACACTGCCTCATCTCCTTGGAAAATCATCTGGGTTTGGAATCTTGTTTTGTGGGTGTGAAATCTCCTCACAGAATCCTCTGGATCTCATTCCACCTCCTGCCATGGGCAGTGACACCTTCCACTAGACCAGGTTGCTCCAAGCCCTGTCCAACCTGACCTTGAACACTTCCAGGGATGGGGCAACCACAGCTTCTCTAAAAAAACTGTCAGGGCCTCATCACCTTCATGGGGAAGAATTCCCTCCTAATATCCAATCATTCCAGTTTTTCTGTAGGAACTGAGGTGTAGGAACTGGAACAAGAGAACTGGCTCCAAACAAGGCCAAAGAACCATGTGAGGTCTGTAGCCAGGAGGACTCCCCTTGCTGGGTCAAGTAGGAGAACTTGTAGGGGGAGAGGCATCCATGGGGACAGGAGAGTTCTCACTGCAGTTCCCATCTCCCTGATGGTACAAGATGCATAACACCAAACCAGAGCAAATCTGTGTTCCCTGTGCTCCAAAGGTCATGGGTGAAAAGACTGGAAATGTCGTCAGCCAGCACCATGGTTTCCCCTATTCCCAGCTCTTTTGTTTTTTTGGTTGGATTTTCCCGGGAGCTGTGGTGTGCCAGAGGCTGGACAGACTGCCAATACCCTCATTAGTCCCAGAACCCAGATTTTACATAATTGAATCTGCAGTTGTTAAAGAGAAAACAACAGGAATGAGAAAATTACACACACTTGGAGAACTTACGTGCTGTTGATTGATCTAGATCTTTGATCTAGAAGAATCTGTGACAGATCCCTCGAAGGGATTCTAGTCCTCCCAATGGCAATGCTTCCTGAAAATCCCACTAATTACCTGTAGTTTGGAACACCTTTGGTGGTCTTTAATACCTCATGTACCAGCAGACATACTTCAGGCACGACCATCAGACAGGGCAGTCAGTGAACTCCAACTCAACCGAGGCTCAGGAATGATTTGGGAAAAATACTTATCATCTTTACATTGTATTTTTAATAATTCTTTATTTAATTGTGTCTTTATATTGTATATTTATTTATTCTTATAATGCATTAGAAGAAGTTGTACAGAAGAGAAAATCAGAATCCGTCTTTAAATGGTGGTTGGAACAGGATGATCTTTAAGGATCTCATTCTATGATTCAGATTTCTAATGAAGAATTCTTCAAAAAGCCCTTGCTTCAACTGGGCAGATACTGTTTTGAGCATTTAGACCAGAGCCCTCATTAGCACAGGGGACATGAAGCACATTACAATATTCAAAGACATTTGCTAGCTTTTTATCCAACAGAAACAGCAGAGTGTAGTTTAAATCCAGACTTAAAAAGGAGAGAGAGAGATTTTTTATATGGGCAGCTAATGGCAGGACAAGGTGAAGTGGTTTTAAACTGAAAGAGGACAGGTTGAGATTAGATGTTAGAAATTCTTTCCTGTGAGGGTGGTGAGGCTCTGGCAGAGGTTGCCCAGAGAAGCTGGATGTGTTCAAGGTCAGGTTAGACAGGGCTTGCAGCAATCTGGGGCAGTGGAAAATGTCCCTGGAAGATGAGCTTGGAGGTTCCTTCCAACTCAAACCATTTTGATTCCACGATTCTTAGAAAAAAGCACTGTTGCTATAGTAAAATTATTTATTAGCTTAACCAGATAGGAGAAGGGGGTCATCTTTAGCAAACCTAGAAAAAGGAGCAGTGTTTTTTTGTTTTTGTTGGCCTTTGGTGGTATTTTCTATCGGTGATTGGAGAGACAGGGACAATCTGAGCTTGGATCAGAAGCCAATTTTATTGAGTATACAAGGTGCTTACATAGGGTTTTACTTGTATGGGATTTATATAGAGTTCTAATATTGGTAACAATTTCCCATTGGTTGCACATTCCTCATGACATCACATTACCTGATAACATTATCTTATCACAAAGTTTCACAGCATGTTTCTTGGTCACTTCTTGCCCAGGGAGCATTTATCTGTGTCTGTCTCTCCCATGGTTTCTGTTCCATAAGGCCTAAGATATCAGGCCCCTTTATAATTTCCATTGTACCTTCTGTTTTATTCCCCATATTTTTCCAATTCTGTATAGAACTAAAGAAAATTAGAAGAAAGGAATTAAAGATTTCAGAACTGAAAAAAAAAATCTGAAACCAATTCATTTCTCAGCCAGGCCTTCCCTTGATTGCTAGAAATTAGTTAGGTTTGCTTTGGTTGAAACGCCATTTTTCAAACACTCTCTATAGTAGCATCTTGCATCTAAAGAGTGGAATTTTTGAAACACCTGTTCTGGTAGAAAACAGCCACCATCCTCTGAGTTTTCTTTAATTGCACCTGGAATCCTTCCAGATACCAGAACTGCATGAAAAATGAACAGCAGAATGTAGGCAGACAGAGAAACGGGTAAAACTAATTTTGTTCAGCTAATTTGTAATCATGAGGGAAGCAAATAGCTCTTGGTTTGCACACCACTGTCTCTGCTTTCCTTTCATGATGTAGAATGCTGCTGGGGCACCTCTGGAGGTTGTTTCATCATGAAAATCCAGTCTATTGCGCCTGAACAATTTTTACAGAGCCAGAGCTGGTTTTTTGCTCCCAGTTTCATCTGTTGAGCAGCAAGCAGAGTTACTGTGAGCATCTGAGACTAACGACCTGCCCCTCACAGCAAAAGATAAGGTTTTTATTTATCTGCTCTGTGGCAAGAGAGATGGGACTGAAGCTGTGAGTTGTAAATAGTAATTTCACTGTAATCATGGTATTACCAAATATCAGGGATGTACCTCTGTGCGCACTTAATGAGCTTTAGATATTAGTTCCTTGAGTGGTTCAGAAACTTGGTTTCTAGTTATTTTCATAGATGAGACAGTGAATCTATAGTGAATATATATTGTTGGAAACAACAGACCAGCTCCAAATTAGGTGGCTGAATAACTTTTTTCTACTTTCACGACCCAGAGGTGTGGGAGGTCTCTGGACAGAGAGTTCCAGCTGTCCAAAGGAATTTCTTCAGGCAACTCTTGCTCTGACTAGAACTTGAAAAGTGTTATTTGACATTGTCAGTGGATAATCTGGTCTTGTAAGTGATGGTTCTTGCTGCAGCACTGATTTACTGAAGCAGAGAAAAGACAGCTGTAAACAGCCAGTAGAAACTGGTACTTCAGAGACAGAAATACGTACCTTGGATGATTGTTTGGGCACAGAAAATATTAATTTTCATCCCTTCTTTGGATCTGAGCTTGGAAGAAGAGTAGCATCTTTGTATAAACAGATTAGTCATTACATCAATAAAAGCAAAGGCAATCAGCATCAGTTACATTTTCATTGCCTCAGAATTGCTGCCACCCATATTGGGGCATATTCAAACAAATAAATTGTGCAGTCTTTTGTACTTACTGCTTGGGAAAGCAATTATGAGCAGCAATGTTCATGAGGGTACATCCTGCAGCCAGAGTTTGACACAAAGAATCTAGAAAGATCATGAAGATGAGGAAATATCCATAAAATACAGTAAATATTCAGTTGGTGATGATCCACTGCTTGAATTCTTTGCATATAATACCCAGCCCTGTTGAAAAGGGAGGAACCTTTCCAAGTTTATATTCTTTGTGGAAGTTTCAGAACTATTGGACAGCTATAGTTGTAGTTTCCAGGCTGTATTTTCTCATTTCATTGTTAACAGCTGTAACATTGTTCATAGGAATTTTTAATTGTTTTACTGGGGGGGGGGGAATAAATTAAAAAGGAGAATAAACTGGACAGAGCAAGTATTCTGACCTTGCTGCAAATTTTCATTTATTCAGGCAATGGTTTTAAACTGTGGGTTACTAGCAAATCTTGCAAAAAGAAAGTAAAAGACGATCACAAGGAGTCAGAGAAGATACTCCCCTATCCGTAACATTGTGCAGAGAAAAAATCTTGCAAATGAAACACAGATGTTCATCCTTAAACTGGTGCAAAAATCAGGGCATTCCATTCCAGTTGCACTTTGAAACTCCAGATGTTTTTCTACTTCAAGTGTCTCCTTAACTGTCAAAGACTTCTGGATGCTCCTGCAGATATTTCCAGAAATTAATCCTGGACAAACAATTACATACCCACCAGCTCCATCAAGCTGAAGGTCAGCCTTCTTTCAAGGTAGTGTCTGTCAAACACCACCAGTTTATTGCCAGCTGAAAGGAAATACTTCACCCTGCCAGTGTGGTGCTTCCGTCACTGTTCAATGGGGGATTCATCTTTTCAGCAGCTTTCTCAGCAAATTATGGCAGTACTGGATATGCTGGATAACAGGATAATCTCTTAGCACTGTCCTGCAGGTACTTGATTGGATTTACCTAAATTTTACAAAGCATAATTATGGCAATGCTAATGCAACAAGTGAATCGAAAGAGTCAGAAATAAATGGGATCCTGTCATGTTGTGATACAAGAAGTTTTGAGAATGAGGCCACAGGGTTTGTCTTTTAGGACAAATACATGAGTAAATTTGCAAGTTCTCTACATTATGATGCACAGTAGGATGGCTGGGAACAACATTTGGAATACTGAAATCCAAATGAGTACAGATGGTTATTAGGAACCCCCTTTAGCTGATTGCTTGCAGACATCTTGAAATCCTCCTCTGGCCATCATGCAAAACAGAAATCAAAGGAGTTTGAGGGGAGCTGGAGGTCTTCAAAAGAAAGATACACAGACACTATTAAATCTCTTTGAAATAATCTCTGATGGAGAATAATTTCTCCCTTTGCTAAAAATAAGCAATCCTCAGTGAAAAGAGGAAATAAACCAGTTTTCATATGCTGCTGAAACAAAGTTTTGTACATAAATGATTGAATTTGAATTGAAATGTTAAAAGTGTGAATGAGACCAAACCTAAACTCATCAATAATTTCCATTCATTCCTTAAAGCAACCCTTCGTAAAATGACCATTTCCGTTGTAATTTCTCAAGACTTTGAAGAATAACATTCATGGTGATGTGGTAATTACCCCAGGACTAGCCATGTCAATTATGTAGATTGTAGCTGGATTTCACATTGCTGATGTTCATCCAGAAAATTGCAGCTCTTTCACTTTCCAAAAATACCTAATTGATTGTTCTCACTGCCATGAGCAGCTTCAGAAATAGCAATTTTGAAGCAAAAGTTGAAGAATACGAATTCTGCATTGTTAACAGATACTTCAGTGGAAACCATATGAACCTACACTCATTCAGTCAGAAGAGCCCCGTATGATACCAGTACAGTCAAAAGACAGCTCTCTGTCTCCAACCTCACATGATATTTTTTACGAAGCCTTTTACGTCAGGAGGTCAAAATCACAAGAGACACGGAAACTGAGAGACGTTTCAAAAAATGGTTTATTGCCTCATGGCGTCAGTCTCACAGAAGGGCGAGACCTGTGGTGTTACATTCAATGCCATAATACCAGAAGCCACCTAACTCTTAGCTACAATGCCTTATGTTAGTTTTTTAGCCAATCACATCCTTCTACAACACTTGTCAGCATCTTTTTACACCAATCATTAATTACTTTACTTTTCGTGGCTTTGCCACAATGTGTCGTTTTTTAACCAATCATATAACACTTCACAAACCTACCTTGATGCATCTTAAGCTTCTAATTTTATAACAGCTTCTGTTGCTAAACTTTAAAATCTTTTACTCATTTATCATATTGCTTTGCTTACATAATACATGTTTTTGTTTGCTTAAAATATATTTCTACTTAAACTACAAACTTACATTCTTGTTTCATGTGTATCTCTCTTTAATGCTCTAATTCTCCAAGCCTTCTCCAAGGTGCTAGGTCAAACATGGTATCCAGGTCTATCTTTGAGCCTGTGTGCACAACACTCTGAGAGCTCTCTGTGCTTGCAGTTCCTAACTCTCAATTAATTGTTTTTTAGAGATTATTTTCTTTGCCCAGTTTTGCAACCTGCATAGTATGGACATCGCAGGTCAAACTAATCAGATTATTTGTGTGTTACCGTAAGCCAGGTCTGGGACACAGTCCAACTTGGGAGAATAAAAAAAACAACCAAAAACCAAAAAATCAACAACAAAAAAACCCACCTCAAAATTACTACCGGGCAAGATTCCCCTTCTTTCAGTTTTAGAGTGGAGCATTTCTAATGTGGAACCATAGTTGAAGAGGGAGGACCAATGTCAGTCGCCTTTGGCAGTGGAAACAGCTGAAAATACTTTTTTTCTCAAGCTGCTTGGAGAAGTTTTTTAATGAGAGCTGGGAACTTACCAGGTGTACTGTAAAAACTTAGGGCCTGTTAGCCAGCACTTTTGAGAAGTGTATCACAAAATTTAAGAGGTTGTTGAGCAAAACTTTTTGAGTCCAAAGAGTTGGCTGGTTACAGGAGCTAAGATGGTGTCTTTATTAAGGCTGACAAGAATTTGCAACAAACTTCATGCCTCGTTCTCATGGGCTGGGACAATGACGCCAACACCAAACTCCACGAAACACCTTAGAAAGGGACGTCCCTAAGAACAGCCCACTACCAACAGTGCTGCAATCTCACTATCAGGTGAAATGCCAGTCTTTTTATACATCAAAAGCAGCAAGTACACCCTGCTAGCCCTTTGAGAAACACAGCAGAGTTGATTCTGAAAATAGTGTCAGAGAAATAACTCTGTTTCCATTTTTTTGAACAAGCAAGAGAAAACTGGCAATACTTGACAATTAAGTTGTCCATTCTCCATGCTGCTGGTGGAATTTCAGAGTTTAAAGAGCTGCTTCTCTTTGCCTATTATTTAAAAGCATTTTTCTTTTAAAAAAGTAAAATCATTGCTTCTCTGAGGCTTTTTCTCGGCCCTCAAATGGGGTTCTTCACCCTTCCTCCGGTCTAGCTCAGGTGTTAGGATGAAGCCTCCAGGGCCCTTGCCTCATGGACGTAAATAAGATAACAAAAGAGGTTCTTTCCCCTGATGAAGTTACCGGGTTTATTTCTCGTGGGTAGTTAGGAAAAGAGGGAGCAAGAGAAAAAGAGGGGAAAAGAGGGGAAAAGAGGGGAAAAGAGAAAAAG